CGGTGGCAGCACGATCAAGACTATTTGACAAAGACCGTAAATGTAACTTTTTCTGTTCCTCATCCTACGAAGTTGACCAGCGCCACCTCCTGGATTGATGATATGAAACAATGGCCAGCAGTCACATATGTTGACATATTCAATTACCTTGTTTTGTCTGAGGGTGTGGATGGCGAGGAACTTAGAAATTATAAAAGTACCAAAGCATACAGTTATCTACACAGTAACAAAATTGGACGAATTCTTTGCCGTAAACATCTGCAGTTCACATTACTGAAAGCGGAGGTAGAGCCGAGTCAGGCTATAAATAAACCAAATCACATCGCGTGGGTTATGCTACAAAATAACGGAGTAGTGGAAACAGCTGGATGCTCCTGCGTAGCTGGCCCCGGCAGGTCTTGCAGCCATGCTGCTGCAGTGTTGTGGAAGGTGGGTATTTATAAATAGAGCAACACTTCTAGTGTGGCTAAACGCGTGCAGTGCTTGAAGTGGAAAAAAAAAGAAGTGCCGGTGTTGTGCCCAATTCTAACCCCCGCCAGATTATTACCCCCCTAGTATTGGTAGGTTTAGGGTTAGGTGTGGGGGAGGGGTTAGGATTAGGCAATCAGGTAGCGATTTCAACGAGGGGGGTAATAATTTGGCAGGGAGTCGAAAATGGGCACAACACCTGCCCACTTCAAGCACTGACTGTGTGATTCAATGTAAAGTCTTATTTTTACAGCAATATTTTACCAATTATAAATTTCAGTTATAACAAAATTGTTTAGCTCTAAAAAAGTGCTAATGGTGATGTACTGTTTAATAATAAAGTGAACAGTATGTTCTGATTTTTGAAAGGTGCAAAATGCAGTGGCCAGTGGTATGACAGGGCTATCTTGCACTGATGAGCAGTGTAGATGGAATGCAGGAACCAGAAGAAACCTTGAACAGAAAAGAATTAGTCAGATGACATTTAGACGTCACAAAGCTGATGATGTATATGGTGCGTCATCAACAAGGGAGGGAGAAAGGCTACCATCTACACCAAGCTATGACACACATCAAGACTTCAGGGAAAGAGTCAATTCTTCAGACAGAAAACCACTTTTTTAATTAAAAAACAGTCTTTTGGAAAAATGCTACAATGCCAATGTATCAGTGCAAGCAGATGACACTGACAGCTTAGAACTCCACCAGCCACATGGAGAGACTTTGACTTGCAGTAAATGTAAAGCATTTTACAGCAAACACATAGAACTGAACAGTGACCAGGAAGCTGAATTGGAGATTCAAACATAAAACCAGAGTTTGTCAGAGGTTTGGCATAGTGCAAGACAGCTAAGGATCACTGCTAGTTCAGCTAAAGTTGTACCAGTACGAGCAACAACAAATCCTGATAAATTCATGAGAGCATCTCTTTCCTACCTTTCGAGGTAATGCGGCTACAAAGTATGGAAGTGAGAAAGAGGCAATAGCTCGAAGCCTTCTTGTAGAAAAAGGTCTACAGGTCTCCCACTCAGGTATCAGGGTCAGCCTGACAGAGCCATGGCTGTCTGCAAGCCCTGATGGCATAATAAATGGTATGGAACTTCTGGAAATAAAGTGCCCTGTTCCCAAGAACACCACCACCTCTCTAGCAGACCATTTCACTATAAATAATAGTGACATCAAAGTGGTTGATGGGAAGCCTGAATTACAGAGGAACGGAGTCTTGCTTGGGACTGGGGACAGATGCAAGACTCTCTTCTACAGGTCTCAGTTTGTCCATTCCAGGGTGCTCTTGGTAAACACCAGCTCCTGTAAATACAGACAAGGCATTATACAGTGAAGCATCTAAAATTAGCTGGGTTATTATATGGTACAGGGTGAGTTTCTATTTCAAAAACGGTCATTTTTATATTAGATTTTTTTTTTTAATTGTTAATTACTAAAAATTAATAAACTAATTCATTTTAGTGGGCATTTACATTCTGCTCTTATTGTTGGCTTGTGTTCATAACACTCTTGATCAAGAAACATTTTGAGCTTTCTGTAGCTGTTGTGACAGCCTTTAACAGCACAACCTACCCAAATGCAATCTCTGTTTTGTTGACACCAGTGCAAACAATTTTGCTATGAAAGCAAAAAGGAAGACACTCAACGCTGGAGATGTGATGTCGGCTATGGAGGAGATGGAGTTTGAGCGCTTCTTGCAACCCCTGCGGGAAGCACTTGAAGGTAAATGCTGTATGAAGCACAGGAGTTCAGGTCCAAAGATGTATGAATTCATAAAAGCATCTGATTTATTCATGTGTATAACGGTTTTGTGCTGACATTCTTTTTTTTAAACAGCTTACAAGAAAGGTCAGAAAGGCAAGAAGGAGGCATCTGAGCAAAAACACAAGGACAAGAACAGCACAGATGAGAATGACAAGAGTAGAGATGAAGAGGACGAGCACATGGATGAGCAGGAGGGAGCGAATGAAGGAGAAGAGGATGAGGAGAACTGAGGGGAAACGGGATAGTTTAATTGTTCAATCCGTCCTGGTTTCCATCAACTATGGCAAATGGTAGTTTCCACATTAATAGTGGGACAAAGGCAACCCTATGGTACTGAATGTGTTTTACTTTATGAAATTGAGCAACTGTACAAAAACTGTGGCAACATTCCTGCAGAGAGCTTTGAATACAGTGATGTATATTTCAAGAGAAACTGTACGTCGCCTCTTTAAATTCACTTTAATCAGTTATATACAACACAGTAGTGGCCATAGGATTTTAAGCTAATAAATGTACTGTTACCCGGGTCAAGAAATGGGAAAAATTTTAATTATTTTGGATGAGAAATAAAGGTGAGCAGCCTGAAGTACTCAAACATTTTGTAAAGGAAGTTCAGCTGTAGTGAAACTTTATACTATGCCAGTTTTTCCTTTTTTTTTTTAAATGTCAGGCTCTTGTTCTACGGCAACACATACCTAAGCTTACATACTTTTGTACAGTCTTTTGAACAACTTGAGAATATTTGAGTAGATGTTAGCCATTTTTTTCAAATAAATTGTATTTTTAATGTTTCTTTTTGTCATTAATTTATATGCTTTGTCTCATTGCAAAAAAAAGCCAATATCTTCAGTTGAATGCCCTTTAATCAGAGGCGGCAGACAAAGTACACAACTCCATTACTTGAGTGAAAGTACAGATACTGCTGGTCAAATATTACTCCATTACAAGTAAAAGTTGTAAAGACAGATTTTTACTTAAGTAAAAGTACAGAAGTACTTGCTTTTAAAAGTACTTAAGTACCAAAAGTAAATTTCCTTTTTTATGTCAATGCACCGTTTTATTATTGTTGTAATACTTGCAATACCTCTGAAGCAACTTACAATACATTACACCTACTGAATACACTGACTAGCTTGTAGTATCTTTGGAATAAAGAACTTTTAGAATGTCAAAAACCTATGGGGAAAAAACAACAACAGAAATTATTTAACACCCCTACCCACCCCCACAAAAACAGAATGGTAGTGATCTCACACAGCTCTGACAGTGTGTGCACACATCTATAACTGTCTGAAAAAAAAGACAGTTTTTAGAGAAGACAAAAAATCACCCACTGACTTTCAAAGCTGCTAACGACTTTCTACTTTGAGGAACTTGATAGGAGTGAAAAGTACAATATTTGTCTTTCAAATGTAGTGAAGTTAAAGTCATAAGTTTCCAGAAAAAATAATACTCAAGTAAAGTACAGATACTCAAACACCCACTGACTTTCAAAGCTGCTAACGACTTTCTACTTTGAGGAACTTGATAGGAGTGAAAAGTACAATATTTGTCTTTCAAATGTAGTGAAGTTAAAGTCATAAGTTTCCAGAAAAAATAATACTCAAGTACAGATACTCAAAAAGTGTACTTAAGTACAATACTCAAGTAAATGTACTTAATTACTGTCCGCCTCTGCCTTTAATTGTGTAGCTCAAATGTGGTAGCTACTAAATATAATAAATACTTCTATAACCAATGAAGTTCTGCTGGTCTCTATATCAGTGGTTCTCAACGTCTGATGTAACGGTCCCCCACATTGTCTTAAATGTGTCCTCTAGTATTTTTGCTGTAATTGACAATGCTGCTTGTTTACAATCTTTAACAGAAATTGGGAATGTTTAAGTTAACTTGTGATCATATGAAACAGAATCTTTTTCAAAGAAATACAAATTCAGTTTACTAAATCTTATTTGTGTTTTCAGCATTTTGATTAAGCTGCCCATTTCTGAGAACCACTGAAAGAAATCAAAACACTTGGACTTTTGTCATTTTAACAGTTTTATTTTGTCTTTAATCCTCTTACTCCTGCAAGAAAAGGAAAAAAAAAAAAAAAAGTTTAAAGACCAGTAAGTGAAAAACAAGATAAATATATATCGGTCTCCAAAGCATAATGGCACTTAATACTTACAGCTGGGCATTCAATTTTGCCACTGTTGATGTCATCAATGACATCATGGGGAGGGCGACCATCAATGGTGCAGCCCACAGACTGAGCTGTGCCAAGAATCTCTTTAATGGTACCTGAGAAACAGGACAAGATCAGTTTTGTACTGTCATCTAAATCAAAATAACTCAATCATACATGGTTGTAATGCATGTTCCAGGCTTTTTGGCACAGGGTTAACCACAGAGTTGAGTATTCCTGCTTCCTAGAACTGGGTTATTATTAGCCTCCTCTGGACAGTACACAGTCCCTTTTACAGACTAGCACAGTGGCGGGAGGCTGATCGATAAATATTGCTCCCAGATGCATAAATTCTTAAAATACATACCACTAAGTTCCCTGGCAATAGATCGTGGCCTCATGACACGGGCAACGTTGATGATCTCATCGAAAGTAACACTTCCAGAGTGCTTAACTACAAAAGAAAAGGGAAACATGATACGAACATCAGGACATATAGAATATGCTAGTCACAAACTAATAGCATGTTCATTACCTTTCAGAAGTTTGGGGTCGATGAGATTTTTTAATGTTTTAAGCATAAGTCTCATGCTAAACTCCTGTAACAAATTTTGCTGTAACTTTTAAAAATTGGATGCATCCTGGCCGAATTAACTTACTGAAACATTAAGGACCTTATGTTTTGATCAAACAATTTAGCAGTTATTTGCATAACGGTCTCTTTTTGTGTAAGGCAATCCATTTTTTGTTGTTAATGGTGTGCTATTTGGTTTCAAAACTTCTGTAAAAAACTAAATGGTTTTTACTGTCACTTCTGATGAATTGAATGCATCCTGGCTAAATTTAAAAATAATTCTTACCGACCACAAACTTCTGAACGGCAGTGTGCATCATACAACATTTTGGCCAACAAGAAATGCAATAGAACTTGTTCCAGTCCTTTCGGCACAGAGTCAGCCATTAAGTTGGTCAGCCCTGTTTCCTAGAGCTGGGTCACTATTAGCCTTCCTTTGGCAGTACACAGTCACTTTTAAAGACAAGCACAGTGGCGGGAGGCTTACAGTCAATAACCACAAAAGGCCAGAACACACAAAGACATGATTCCTCCAACACAGAGTATTGAGGTGGGGTAAAAAGCTGCTTACTGTTCTTGACCTTCTTCCTGTCACGAGGAGGTTCCTTCAGTGCCTTGATGATGAGGGCAGAGGCTGATGGCACCACCTCAATCTGGATCAACAACAAAACCTGTAAGCATCTAGGAGGCTAGATGACCTTAAGAGCCAATAGAGGCGGAAACACTTCGAAGGCTTACCGCTGCTTGTCTGTTCTGGATGGTCAGCTTCACAGTGATTCGCAGGCCCTTCCAGTCACCGGTGGCCTTTGCGATGTCATCACCCACCTTTTTAGGGGACTGAAGAAAAGAATAGAAAATGAAAAATGAGCACACAGCATGGAACAGAGTCAATGTGCTGTGACACAAGCGGTTTGTTCCAGGTCTTTCGGCACAGAGTTAGCCATCAGGTTGGGACCGCCCTGCTTCCATAAGCCTCCACTTTAAGTCCCTTTTACGGACTAGGACAGTGGCAGGGGGCTTATTTATGATAGAGTATAGGATCAAACAATACAGACTGAACCAAGATGGCTATACTTACAAGACCCAAAGGTCCGATTTTCGGGGCCAGCGAGGAAGTGGCACCAACCTCTCCACCTGTGCATCTCATGTACACTGGAAAAAGAAACAATGAGAAAGTTAGTGCTTTTACTAGAATTACTACACTTTAACCACAGAACTTGTAGATGCTGCAAGACATTACGGTGTGGTGTCATCTTATTTCTAAAAGTTGGAGGGGGACTAAATGAACAAACCATTCAGCATCGAGCATCATTCATTCAAACAGATCTTAATGCAACATCCTTGGAGGGTCAGCTTAAAGTTGCTTTGCAAATAACTCTAAAATGACTAATAGACGGTCATACCTGGCTGATGCGAAACAGGCAGGCTTGTGCAGCATTACATCAAATCTATTTTTATAGCATATTCTAGTTGGGGTCGAGATTAAAACCGTATTATCGCACACATGCTGTTGTGGTTCGAGAACAGCATGCGAAGAGCCACCACCATACTAACAGACATCTATCCCATCAGACATCACACGTACGGCCCTATGATTTCCACAATGCGGAAAACTCGGACGGAATCCGGTCATAAAACTGAACTGTGTAAGGCGCAATGTCACGAAATTGGCCAAATTTGGGATCAATACATTAAAAGTAGGTCAGTACACTTACATCAAAATGCGGTATGTAGCATCTGTAAATATTAGGCCGCAAAAAGACTTGAATATAAAGCCTGTATGTTCCGCGTGTCTCGGTGAATGAATGGCGCAGACACGCGCCATCGTCAAATCATAAACTTACAGGTCTAACTTCGTTTTAACGTGAAACTGTGACGGAAATATTTTACTTGATAGTACTACCACTAATAAAATTAAAACATTTAAGGTATATTTACCAGAAAAATTGCCATAAACAATTTAGCAGAAAAACGTAAATACACACAGTATTACTGAAAAAAGGATACGATTATAAAATCAATTAGAGACGCTTTTAATTACAAAATAATAAAACCAATGGAAAACACAGAACTTAGTAAAACATAAAACTGAATTTAAAAGGAAAAAAACAGGGTCTTTGTTAAACTTTTAAGAAATCTGTTAAATTGTGCGAGTTTCATGATTAATTAATTAGACAGGCTTTGATTAATAAAATGTAACCATTAAAACGGTCTAGA